GTAGTAGTAGTGGTAGTGTAGTGGTAGTAGTAGTATTATTATTATTATTAGTCGTAGTGGTAGTAGTAGTAGTAGTAGTAGTAGCAGTAGTAGTAGTAGCCGTAGTCGTAGTCGTAGCAGTAGTAGTTGTAACAGCAGTGGTAGTAGTAGTAGTAGTAGTAGTAGTAGTAGTAGTAGTTGTTGTAGTAGTAGTAATAGTAGTGGTAGTAGTAGTAGTAGTAGTAGTAGTAGTAGTAGTAGTAGTAGTAGTAGTAGTCGTAGTAGTACAAGTAGTAGTAGTAGTAGTAGTAGTAGTAGTAGTAGTAGTAGTAGTAGTAGTAGTAGTAGTAGTTAGTAGTAGTAGTAGTAGTAGTAGTAGTAGAAGTAGTAGAAGTAGTAGTAGAAGTAGAAGTAGTAGTAGTCGTAGTCGTAGTAGTAGTAGTAGTAGTAGTTAGTAGTAGCAGTAGTAGTAGTAGTAGTAGTAGTAGTAGTAGTAGTAGTAGTAGTCGTAGTAGTAGTAGTAGTAGTAGTAGTAGTAGTAGTAGTAGTAGTAGTAGTAGTAGTAGTAGTAGTGGTAGTAGTGGTAGTAGTGGTAGTAGTGGTAGTAGTGGTAGTAGTGGTAGTAGTAGTGTTATGGTGATGATGCTGGTACTGCGGATGCTGCTGATGATGCTGCTGCTGATGATGATGGAGGGGATGCTGATGATGATGATGATGCTGATGCTGATGATGATGATGATGCTGATGCTGATGCTGATGATGATGATGATGCTGATGATGATGATGATGATGATGATGCTGATGCTGATCATTCTTATTGTTTGTCATTGCGATCAGTATCTGTATTATCCTCGTTATTACTATCACGGTTTCAACACGCAGGGTGGGGGGCCTTCTGTGGGTGCTCTGGGCTCCTCGGGGGGACCCTCTCCAGACGCCCCCGAGGGCCGCTCAGACGGCTTGTAAGTGGAGGCAGAGAGGCACCAGAAGGCTTCCAGATATCCCGCGTACGACCCCAGGGAGCTTACAGTGGAGGCCCATGCCAAGAAGCACCCTGCTTGCCTCCGGGGTGCCCTGGGTTTCTTTGGTTTGGATGGTATTGCCCTGAGCGTGACGTTACCACACCAAACATCGATGGACGTCCTGGATCTCAGGGTTGGGTTTCTTGTTGAAGGTTTCCTGTGGTCGGGCCCCCATTGTAAAGATGACCCAAGAGAACTCGACGAACGCTGCTCAGAGGGCCCCAAGAGGCAAGAACCATTGATCTCCCCACCGTTGTTTCACTGTTTTTTGGGTTCTGGACATTCGAGCTTCCGTCGCTCCACGACGTCCCGAGAGGCCCCTGAGACCCCCCCAAGAGCGCCAGAGAGGCCCGAAAGACGCCCCAAGAGGCTCCCAAGAGGGCCCCAAAAGAGGGCCCCAAGAGGGGCCCAAGACGGCCCAAGAGGGCTTCGAGACGGCCTCAAGAGGGACCCAAGAGAAGGAGCCCGAAACGAAAATTCGATTCCGCCGTCCTAAGATGCCCCCAGACGGCCCAAGAGGGCTAAACGAGCGCTCCCTAGAGGGCCCCCAAGATGCCACAATTGATGTTCGTACGGTTTTCCAGTGGGTTCGGAATTCTCGGCGTTTCATGCTTCCTGCGCACCGCGACGTCCCAAGAGGCCCCCAAGACAGCCCCAAGACGGGCCACGAGGCCTTCAATAGTGCCCAAAGACGGCCCAAGAGGGCCCACGACGGCCCTGGAGGCGCTCAAGAGGGCCTCAAAAGGCCCAACAGGGGCCCAAGAGCAGGAGTCCTACACGAACATTCGAGCCTTCCGTCCCAAGATGCCCCCAGGCAGCCCTAGAGGACTCGACGAGCGCCCCCCAGAGGGCCCGCAAGCGACACCAACCATGCATGTTCCTGGGGGTTGCTTGAGGGGGTCGACTTTTCGAGGTGCCAGCGCTCCACGACGTCCCACGAGGCCCCCACGACCGCCCCAAAGACGGCCAAGGAGGCCCCCAAGAGGCACTCACGGGCCATAGAGGCGCCCAAGATGGCCCAAGAGAGGGCCTCAACTTTGACATACATTTAACAACGCACACACACACCGCTTCCTCATCAAGGACGGCGTTGTGTTACATGTGTGTTACACTGCTGGGGCTGTTGGGCCGCTCTTGGAGCTCCCTTGGCGCCCCTTCGGGCCCTCCCAAGCCGTCCTCTAGAGCTCTCTTGGGGGTCTTTGGGAGTTTCAGGAGAGCCCCACGAGGGCCCAGCATTGAATACAAACTTCACACACACACACACACTGCAGCCTCGCCAGGGACGGCGTTGTGCCAAACTTGTTAAAGGATTGCTGGTTCTCTTGAGGCGCTGCTGGAGCTTCATTGGGACCCCTGCGAGCCCTGCCAGGTCGTCTTTGAGAGCTCTCGTGGGGGGTCCAGGAGAGCCCCAAGAGGTTTAAACTGTACGACGCATTTAGCACAACTCTGTCCCTGACGAGGCAGCGGCTTGTGTTCGGCCCGCTTGGAGCCCTCCCGAAGCCCGCCCGAGTTTCCGAGGACGGCCTGAGAGGCCTCGAAGACACTCTGAATGTCAATCTACACATGATGCAAAAACTGTTTCTTTGTAAAGAACGGGCTTTTGATAAACTTGTGTTGCTTGTATTGTGTCTCTTGGGGCGCTTCCAGAGCTGCCTTGGGGCCCCTTCGAGCCCTCACAGGTCGTCTCGGACACACGTGAGTCGGATCGCAACATGCGTCCAGAGCTTCTCCAGGAGCATCAGAGCGAAGTATCCAGAAACTCCATTGGGAACGCCTGCGTCGATGTCCCGGAAGACTCCCTGTGAACATCCGCGCGGGTGTTCCGGATCACGTCGCAGGAGTAAGAGGAGGAGAGGTGCCGAGGACGACGAGGAGGACCACGAGGAGGACGACGACGACCCCCCGACGGTCCCCAGACGTCTCCCGAGTTCTGGCACGGCGCGAGGGGGCCTGGGGGAGCTTCCCCTCGTCCCCTGCGGACCCCTGTGCGGCTCCCAGCCGCACCCGGGGGGCTGCCTCCGCCTGCCTCGGCGGGTGCGGGCTTCCCGGCTGCGCCTGGGGGCTGTCGCTCCTGGAATACCCCCTTACTGGGGGAGGGGAGGAGGAGGAGGAGGAGGAGGAGGAGGAGGAGGAGGAGGAGGAGGAGGAGGAGGAGGAGGAGGGGGCTCGAGGGAGCAGGAGGAGGAGGAGGAGGAGGAGGAGGAGGGAGGAGGAGGAGAGGAGGGAGGAGGAGGGAGGAGGGAGGAGGGAGGAGGAGGAGGAGGAGGAGGAGGAGGAGGAGGAGGAGGAGGAGGAGGAGGAGGTTAACATGTG